TCAGTTCTCGCTGCTGTTTCATTTTTTATCACAGACGATTTAACGTAGTACGCATTCTCTTCCCTGTCATTTTTATCTCATCCTTGTTCCTGTAAACGATGGCTCCATATTTATCAAATTCTACTTTGTAACCATGATCGGTGATTTTTGCTACCGATAATAAATTTATATTAATGTCTGGTACACATAATACATTTCTTAACCGTATCCTATCTTCATTAAAATTCTGTTTTATTACTATTTCACCTCGACCATCTGAGGTTAGTTTTTTTCCTTCTTTGTCAGCCAATGTCTCTTGTATCGTCCTCTATATTAACAAATACGACTTTATTGCTTACCATATGACTTGTTGCACCTGAATCTAATAGCCATATATAACCTTTTTTTATTTCATGCTCAGGCTCTTTATTTACTTTTGTTGTACTCACGTGTGATCGATCTCTTACAGTTAATACCGCTTCATCTGTAGTTTTTAATGTACTTTCATTATATCCTTGACTACGTCCTCTTCCTCTTCCTCTTGAGATTCCTCTAAATCCTCTTCCACGTGAAACGTTTCTCTTCTGTTCTCTGCAATCAACCGCGATGTGATTGTATCCCTGGCAATTAAAGCACTTCTTCCTGTTACGACATTCGCTTGATTTGTGACCACTCATTCCGCAATTGTAGCATGTATAGTTATTTCTTGATTTATCTCTGGCTTTTCTTACATATTCTTCTTTCGATGTTTTTTCATCTTTATGTTTGTCTCTTCGTATTTCCTCTTGTTTTAACGCATATCTTATGTCATTTATGGTTAGCTCTCTCTGTGTTTCAAACACTCGTACATTCTGATCGAATTCAGATTTTAGTCCTCGTATAATATACATCCTCAATTCGTAATCCTCTATGTTTTTACCAAGTTGTCCTCATTGGTTTCTCAAAGCTTCCGCTCTATTAACGTACGCATCTACACTTTCGTCCTTATTCATTTTTAGATTTGACAATTCACTTAATGATCTCGCCTTCAACTGCTCAGTTTCCGCTGCCATATTGTTTTTAATTAGATTCCATAATTTATTTGCATCCTTTTCGTGACTGTACTTCAATAATTGAGCTTTACTCATCGTGTTTATCATGACTGTACGTGCGGCGTAGTTATCATCGTCCCATTCATTCCATAGCTTAAATTTTTCCGCATATCTTTCATCATCTTCTTCTGGTTTGTCTGTTGGCTTCACATTCATTACTTTTTTCCAAAGTTTCTTTGCCCTTAAGATTCCTTCTATTTTTTCGCTCCACAGGAAATAATTTGTGTCGTCAAGCGGTTCCACACAACTCAAATTCCAATTTTCAGCCATATTGAAAATGCGTCTTTTTTATGCTCAAGCAAACTCTCACGATATTCGATAGCCTCACACGGATACACTAAGTAAACCACACTCTGCTACCAATTTGTGAGGATAGGAGGCTATCGATAAATAATATCTTATAATTTAACCACGTAATATAGTAAACTCTTTAATGTTGCGAATGTACGATACAATGCTCTCGTGAGAAAATACAAGGACTATATAGTTAGTAAGGCGTGTCCAGAGTTGCCAAAAAAGAATATAGAGTCACGATCTCGTACTGCCATCTACCTATCTTTAAGATCGTTTCCTATTGGTCTCTGAATCCTAGTGAGATTTATGTCTGCCTGTCTACACCTATTAACATAAAAATCTTACATGTAAACAATAAAAACAACAAAAACGTATACATTTCGACCTATGGTCAAGATCCTCTTCGATACAAAGAAATTTACTTAAACTATTAATTACAAAATTACATAATGATAGCGCATACGAATATAAACTATTAACGTATAAAATACGAAAAAACTATGGTAGTGATATCCGAGTTAATCTTGGTCATCAAATTATTAAGTTTACTAAAAAAGAAACAGATTGTTTGTTTTGAATCGATTGACCAAAAGGAGTTAAAAAATATTTTAAATTGCTAACATAAAGTTATCCGTAAAAAATATGGTAAAATAAACTTACATGACTGTCAAGATTGAACTGTTCCTATAAGGTTTGTTGTACATGTTCCTTTAAACTGTTCAATTTAACTGTGTAATACAATTATGAATAAATTAAAAAGTTAATATAAATAATTAAAATAGTTAAAATCAAACTTTACTTCACTTATATGAAACAAAATTAAGAGTTATTAGACACGACATAATTGTTTGGTAGATGAATGTAAAATGAAAATTGAGAGAAACAGTGGACAACATGTACTTACAAAGACAATAAGTATAAATAATAAATAATAAATAACCAAGGATAAATGATATAGATTGAAAGCATTACGTTTCTGAAAATAGATCTATATATAACGGATCGAGAGAAAGTGTATCGTTTTGTAAATTCAGGACCTAGTTATTATTTTTCAATATGTATCATCTCTGATAACAATCTTTTATGTAAAATTTATTCTTTGTCTAAAATATATACGTTATCCCAATTAAGTTCATGAAATAAGTCCACACGATGATAACCGAATGTTGGGTCGTGTTTCTGTTAATGATTTCTATGTTCATTTATGCGCGTTTTAAGGCATCTGCTTGTTTGTCCAACATACGACACAGTCTTTACAGTCAATCTTATATATTACATTAGATTGAGAAGATTGAGGTAGTACATCTTTCTGGACTTTGAAATTTATTGAGCTAATTTATGCCTCTCTATAGGCCATATAAAAGGTACATAAAAGTACATATAAAAGTAATGTTTTAAAAAATTACTGATTTTATTAGAAATATTAGAAATAAATGGTATAGAGAAAAATTTTTTATTATTGATTTCTTCTTGGCTTATCAGTAACAAAATCATCAATACGATTAAAAAGATCAAATTTTTTAAGTCTTTTTTTAATAGTTGAAAATATCAAACTTAGGGGATAGCCATTATTCAGAAGAATTTTTATAATTAAGTCAAAATTCTTTTTATGAAAATTTGGATGAGAAAGTAATAAAACTCTATCGATTAAACCAATGACGTGCCAATTTTTTGACACAGTGGATGAGAAGTAATTAAGAAAACGACCCAAGAATATAGATTTACGATACCAATTAAAAATAAGAATTTCCTTTTTTTTTATCAAGCATGTCCAAAAAGTTTGATGAGTCTTCATCAATTTCCATAAATTGTAAATTATAATGTAAATAATAGTCTTGGGTGGTAAGAATTAAATTTAATAAGAATCTCAATATGAACATTGTCAATAGCTAAAGCAATGTCATCAATATGCTTATGTCTTTAATCCAATGTGTATTAGTCGCTGTATTGGTTGAATGGATAATCGGATAGATGATGGTCTCGTAATAATTTGCACACAGATTCAGAATATGAAATCTCTATACTTTATTTCACGCAAAGTATAAAAATTCGATTGCTCGTTAAGAAGTCTTTGTTTCGGCGTAGGGTAATGTATTAGTAATGACTGTTCTGTGCGAGAGTTGGCGAATGAGTTTCTATTTGTCGATCTCTCTATTTCGCGATCCATATGCAAAATATTGTTCCGCATATCCTTGTTATGCGGAAACCATTATGTTATTTATAATTATGTACATCTTTATTGTTTTCACGTTTATATACAAACAAGTCTCACAATCATCCACAATGATAGTGATACATACACAAGGATGAATTTTATATATTATTATAATTACTGGCTAAATCATATTATATATTTCGTCAAGTTTTTTGTCTTTTAAATGAATAATTGATTCTAAATTGTATCAAGTTTAACATTGAGAATGACCCAATTGGGTGTCTCATTTTAACTTTGACATTGAAATATCTCGCAAATTATAAAAGATACGGAAAAATGAATGAATTTTAGACAAAAGTTGTAGGATTTAAGAGGGGATGCTGGAGTTATCGACGGAACGTCATTTCATATTTCTTAAACCATTTAGTTTTTCTTATACAGAATAAAAAAATCCTTCTTTAGAATAAAAAAAAATGCAAATACTTTGGAAAAGTACAAACCGGTATGAAAATTCTCCAAAAAATTGTAAATTACAGTTTTCTGTTATCATGTAGGTTCTTCCTTTACATATATACATATAAAGAAATGCAAAGATATATCTGAACAAACAGTACTTTTCTATATTTGAATAATATAAGAATATCATGAGACTTTCAAGTTATGATTTTGAAGCTTACAAGAGAAATAGCTTGAGAAGTATAATATGATTTGAGCGTGCCTACGCAATAACCTCGCATTCATGTGATATATAGGATGTAGCAGAGCAAAAAATGTATATAACGTTTTATTTAATGATTTACTTAATGTTTTAATTTATGTTTTAATTAATTAAAATAAATGTAATACGAAAGGCTACGAGCCAAACCAATTCAAATTTAGCATAATAAACTAACAAATAATATAAAAACAATAGAGAATATAAACGTTTCAACCTCCTTTAAGTCATTATCAATGTTAAAAACATTTACTAATTAAAGTTAGAATATAACGGTAACGGCAAAAGATTAAGAATAAATACATATAATAAAAAATACGTAATTATACAAACTTCAATTAAGATATAATCCATAAGAATGATTCGATATAAAAGTCTCGCATGTAACAATTCATTGTCAGTCACAATTTCTGAAGAATCGCAGTACAAAATTTGATGATATGATATAATAACGCCAATAAAAACTTTGTAGCAGTCAATAATATGTAATCAATCGAATAAAATAATATAAAAATCTGTTAATATACAGAAATATATTGAGTAAAATAAAGAAATAAATTAGATTCGCCTAAATTAGATGGAATTTAAAATATAAAGTGTAAAAAAGAAAAATGTGTACATAATAAATATAAAATTTCCTTCTTTACAAGCGAAAATGTATTGTGTAGTCATGGTATATAATAAAATGTAATAAAATAAAATCTAGTCAGTATATAAAATAGAGATTGGCATGTAAGCATTGTAATTGCGATAGAAATAATCATTACTGTCTAAAAATATTATATTATTGTAAAATGAGAGTCATCTGAGAGTCAAACTAAAAGAGAGAAATATTATCGATATGAAAAGAGTAAAATTAGGAGTGAGAAAAACAGAAGAAAGAAACTAGGAAGGGGAAAGAGATTATATAATGGAAAATAGGATTCTATGTCATTTTGCCTATTTAAATCCTGTTTCTGTCTTTTAATATGAATCATTTCTGAAATTAGTCATTTGTTATACGATGGTTCACTATCTAAAATTTTGACGCTATTCCGATCAAATTTATGATTAAAATTAATCCGGTGATTAGAATAATTGAAAGAGATTCTGTTTTTTTATTTATGTCTGACGTATGTTCATTTAATCTAGTTTTTAATTTTCTTTTGGTCTGACCAACATAATTTGCTTCACAATTCTCACAAGAGATTTTATACACAACTTCTTGATGGGAGTATAAGTCGAGGTGATCTTTATGTAATTTTTTAAGAGGTTAGGAATGGAATAGAATAATTTACAATCAAATTTGAGAGCTAGAGACATAAATTTTTCAGACGAAATTTTTTTTTGTCTTTCTTATGTGAATGAAAATTATTGGGAATGTGCATTAATTTTAAGGGATTTTTGGTAAACGGCTTTATTGTGAAAAAATGGTTACAAATTGATCATTAAAAATATTGTCTATCGCTAGCCACTACTTTTTCCCATCTTTCTGGTAATAGATGGATTCCACGTCGAAAGAACGACACATCTTTTGAGACTATCCACGAATCGATTTTTTGGTCTTCATAAGAATGGAAGCACTGCTCAGGCCATGAGTCATCGATCGAAATAGGTTGTAATCGGAAGGAGCAATATCTGGAGAATACGGGTGTGATAGGACATCCCAGTTAAGCGCTTCTAACGTTTCCTTGAAGGTTTCACAACATGTGGCGTTGTCATGTTGGAAAATCACTTTGTCGTGTCTTTTCGCGTAATTTGACCGTTTTTGCTTCAATGCTCGGCTCAATTGCATCAATTGTTGTTGGCGTTCCCTAGTGATTTTGTTGGGTTGAAGCAGTTCATAATACATTATATCCAACTGATCCCACCAAATACAAGAGCATGAGCTTGACGCCATGAATTCGGCTTTGCCGTCGACGTTGATGGTTCGCCTGATCTGCACCATGATTTTTTGCGCTTCGGAGCATATCTATTTTTCATTACCCGTCACGATACAATGCAAAAAATGTTTCTTTCTTCTGTGTCTTTGAAGCAACAATTCACAAGTCATTTTGCGCCTTTCGACGTCCCTCGGCTTCAACTCGTACGGCACCCAATTTTCTTGTTTTTGAATTATTCTAATGGCCTTCAAACGTTTGGAAATCGTTGATCGATCAACATTTAATGATTCTGCAATTTAATGATTCTTTTTCTTGCGTTTGACTCGAGTAAAGCTTCCACTTCCTCATCTTCAAACTTTTTCGGCTAGTCATTCCTTGTCTTTCCGTGTCAAAATCACCTTTTTTATAGCGTTGAAACCAGTCACATGTTGAAATCGATGGAGTATAATTACCATAAGCTTCCGACAGCATTCCTTGACTTTTAGCAGCACTTTTCTTCAAATGAAAGCAAAAAAGCAAAACTTTCCGCAAATTGCGTTTTGTTGACATAAAATTCGACATATTCAATGCTCAAAAAAACAATGTTATTTACACTTCGGCAAAATGACACATACTGAAAAGTAAAGCCACATGATGGTGCTTTGAACATGAAGGTAGCAACAATATGGTCCGATGCGGTAGTATTAGTTACGTTATCTCTTGAAAATTAATGCACATTCCCAATATTATCTGTTTTATTTTTATTGTAAATATGATAATTAATTATTTTTTGTATGGTGAAAAAAATGAAGTTAAAAAGATAGCCATTATCTAAAAAAGTGTGAATAGCAATAAAATTCCTTTGTTAAAATTTAGAGTGAGATAATAATACAATTCTATCAACTGTGCCATAAATAATTCCTCTCTTATGACATAAAGGATGATGAGAATGGAAATTTAAAAATTTACATGAAAAGGTTGGTTTTTGATACCCAAAAATGATTTTATTTTCGTCGATAGTAATAGTAGTGTCCAAAAAATTCAATCTCCCATTCTTCCCAAATTCTATAATAAACTTTAGTCTTGTATGTAATTAAAAGTGTTAAGAATGTCATTCAAAGTGTCAGAAGGAGCTGCTAATATTGTATAATGTCATCTACATATCTAAAGTAGAAAGAAAGTTGTGTAGGTAATCTATCAATAGCTAATGATTGTAGATCTTGCAAAATTATTTCAGCTATAGAGAATGTTGGAGATCCCGTGGGGGTGCCAAAAATTTGTTTGTAGAAATTGCCATTAAAAGAAAAATAAATTCAGTTTAAAACAAAATATAACGCAATTAAAAATTCGTCTAAAGGTGTTTTTGTATTACAAGATATATGGTCCATCTTTTTTTAATGCTCTCAGATGCTAGTTCTATGGAAACATTAGTAAAAAAGGACTCACATCTAAAGAAGCTAACACATCGTCAGGCTTAAAATAAGTCCCATTCAGTTTGTTGACAAAATGGAAACTATTTTTTATCTGGCTAGGTGCTTCAGGTATGCTATAATTAATAATATTGTGTAAGAATAATGACAAATAATATAGTGAGCTAGATGATAGACAAAACAATAATTCTTAGCGGATTGCCAGACTTATGAATTTTAATTAATCTATACGCTCTGGGTATATTATAATGTGTGTCATATGTGTTGTCAAACACATCATATGTGTTTTAATTAATGTATATGTTTCTTTGATGTACGTAATATTTTATTTGGAATTAAAAATCTATTTTATCGACATCGATTAGTTCGGTCGTTGCTTCAGCGTCCCCTTAAGAAGGTCTATTTATTGATCATATCCGTTTAACATTGAATGACGTTGCCAAAGTCACTTTGAATTTTTTAAATAGAACTCTTTTGATTTTATTGCATATTATTATAGCTATTGCCGAGGAGGATTTTCGATATAAATCATACACATTAAACGATTTCTATGACCCAAAACACTATAATCTTAATACACTTTGGATCAGTTGTTTTGAAAAAGTTATCGAGATTTATATGGTAAGTTATCCAGCCAACGAAAATCGGATTGAGCCAAATAGTGAAGGCAAAATCGAGGAATGACCTTTAAACTTCTTGCAATTTTGAGCATGATTTATTTCAATCCACACGTCAGTGCTCGATAAATAGAACATGAATTTGGAATTCCTCGATCTACATCGAATGTTATAATTCGCATAATACCACCCTTATCACTTCAATCTGATACAATTAAGCGAAGGTGATTATAGACTGACAGTTTAATTTTGTAGATGGGCACTTGATACATTGGAGTAGAATCCAAATTTCTTTTAGAATATCTGTTTCAATGACGAAGCTACATTTCATAGCAATGCCAGTTTCAATAGGCACAATTGTGCCTATCCAGTTGTGACCCCAGTCATTATTAGTCACCAGTAAATTTTCACTGATATCGACAGGTGGCCAATCAGCATCGTTGGAACCTTCACATTTGGATTGACATATGTAATGATCAAATTATTGAGCTGCATTTTTTTAAACGTACAATTAATGGTCCAATTTACTTAGATTTTATCCAAAATCATTTATCAGGATATTTTCAGAATATCTTCAGGACATTTCACTGGATGTTCTCTAAAGATTTTGATTTCAATAGGATGATAACACATCCAAATTATTGGATAGATCTAGGAAGATCAATCTTGTGACCTCTAAGATCTAAATTCTCTAGATTACTATTTGGGAATATGTGAAAGATGCTATGTATCAGAAAGCAATCACGAGATATGATGGAAGAAACTCAAGCGCCGCAAATACTCAGAGGAGTCTTGCAAAACTTTAGACGTAGACTGATTTTGTGCTTGAAAAATAATAGTGCACACTTTGAACATTTAATTCCGAGAGTATGATAATTAGATACGTAATGACAATTAGACAAAGTTCCTTAATCCTCCTATCTTACTTTCATTAGTCGGAATATTCCTCAATCTTGTTTTTATTGGCTGGATCATCTTTCGATCTTGTCTTAGTTGGTCGGATCATTCCTCGATCTTGCCTTCACTAGCTGGATCAGCCATCGATCTTTGTTGAGTGGACATCTTACCATATAAATTTCGATAACTTCAAAACAGCTGACCTAAAGTGAATTAAGTTATAGTGTTTTGGAAAAGTTTCAGGAAGAGCTATAATAATATGCAATAAAATTTAGGCGGTTTCATTAAAAAAATTTAAAGTAAGCTCATCCTGATCTTGGCAACGCCACGCCAATATCGAATAAATATAGTTACTAAATAAACCTTTTTAAACCTACAAATTTTGAAATATTTTTCCATATCTTTTATAATTTTCGAAATATTTCGGTGTCAAAGTTAAAATGGGACACCTTGTATATTTAATCATCTTTATTATGATTTTGTATTTTATTTGAATACAAGTCGGCTATCTTTAGAAATATTTCTTAATCAAAATCCATCAGATTTTATTATTTAACATTTGTATTGAATAATAATAATTTTGAATAATGAAAACTTAATATTTTCTCTAATATTTACAGGGTGCGTCACCAAAATCCGGACAAATCGAACAATTTCTTTAAACAAAATGTTTTTAATGAAAAATTAAATATTACAAAAACTTTTTACATGGCACTTCGGGGATCCCTGTAAAGCACAATTATCCGATATATTCCCTGTTAGCTTGAATAATGATCTAAAACGTTCGCACGCACTCCGTAATGTAGCGCTGTCTATGCTAACGAATGCTGCCTCAATAGCAATTCTTAATGACGTCACATTGGATGCCGAGACTTGTTTGTGACCCTTTTAACTACGCTCCATACGTAGTCCAAGGGATTTAAATCTAGGCTGTTGAGAGCCCAAAATGGGAGCCGAGGCGAGCAACTCGGCTTGTCCTGACAGCATCTGTCGTATCTTTAATGTATACAATTTATATCGAAAGTCCTCGGCAATTCGATGCATTATTGGCTCGCTTATACCAACAATCGATGCTAATTTTCGCAATGATTGCCCTGAGTCATCCGAAATCAGCGCTTGAGCCCTTTGAACGACTGCAGGAGTCTTCGTGGTGCGTTTTTTCTTCCTTGCTGGCATACTGGAACCTTCGTTGGACTGTTCTAAACCCATATATTTTGCCACAATGTCATAAACGGTTGATCTCGGGTATCCAAAGAACCGAATTATTTCCGTTGCTGAGCGTCCAGCGCGAAGGCCTTCGAAGATCGCTCTTCGATTATACTCCGCACTTGGTTTCAACATCGCGGCCATTTTGAGAATATGACTGTTTACTAAAAGCATCAGATTTTCTCGAATGCCAACGACAACCTCTGGCAGAGGCACAATATAGCGGAAAATTTAAATTAAAATTTGTCCGGATTTTGGTAACGCATCTTGTATATTAGCAACATGAATTTATTTAAAAAAACTCAGACCATGTATACGCTTGTTACTTAGATATCGCTTTTGTCGTCTCCTTGAAATACGCAACTAGCATATAAATTGAGTAATCTTAAAAACATCATTTTGTTTTATATATAGAGGACTGCTGTATGTCCGCCTCCACCACCTATGCCTGAAATGGGAAGCAAACTACCGCCGCCGCCACCTCCTCTTCCTGGCGGTGGTGGCCCACCTCCACCACCACCTATGTCTGGAATGATGTGCCCACCTCCTCCGCCTATGCCCGGTTTAAAAGGACCTCCACCTCCACCTATGCCTGGAATAGGAGGACCTCCACCACCACCTATGCCAGGAATGGGTCCTCTATTACCACCGATAATGGGGGCATTATCTCCATCGTCTCCAATGATACAAGTTTTGCCTCACGGATTAAAACCGAAAAAGAAGTGGGAAGTAGATGGACCATTAAAAAGAGCAAATTGGAAAGCGGTATGTGTATAATATATATAATATATTTATATTAATCGAATAAATTATTACCGGTATAGAAGATATAATGATTTTAATATTCATAATTTTTTACTGTAGTATAATTTCTGCTATGTAAAACTTTATGTATTTCAGATTTTACCTCACAGAATGACAGAAAAGTCATTCTGGACAAGAGTACAAGAAGACAAATTAGCTAGTCCAGAAATATTGGATGGTCTTGCACAGAAGTTCGCTTCCAAACCGAGCGGGAAAAAAATAGACGATGTAGTTGATAAGTAAATTTCACCTCAGTAATTATCATTTTTAAAATGATATTACATAAGATATTAATAAATTTTTCGTATACGTAGATCAGCCTCAACGAAAAAAGTAAAGGATCTCAAAGTTTTGGATAATAAGGCGGCTCAAAATATATCAATACTTCTCGGTGGAACACTAAAGCACATGCCTTACGTGGAAGTAAAAAGATGTTTATTTCGATGTGAAGGACCAGTTATTTCTGATAATATATTACAAGGATTAATTCAATACTTACCTCCGCCAGATCAATTGTCAAAATTACAGATGTACAAAGATCAATACGATGACTTGACTGAAGCGGAACAATTTTGTGTTACGGTAATGTATTTGATTTTTGTATAATTTTTTTCTATCTTTTTATTTCATTGACATCAATGTTACAGATATCTACAATAAAACGGTTATTACCCAGATTGAGATCATTAAGCTTTATGTTGCGATATGAAGAGTTGATACAGGATATAAAACCTGACATAGTAGCTGCTACTGCAGCATGCGAAGAAGTGAAAAGTAGCAAAAAGTTTGCACGAATTCTCGAATTAATATTGTTACTCGGAAACTATATGAATTCCGGTTCCAAAAATGGCCAAGCATTCGGATTCGAGATTAGTTTTCTTACAAAGGTTTGTTCTGTAACATATATGTTTGTATGTGTATATGCATAAATCGCTTATTATTTCGATGCAGTTTCACGACTTTTTTTTTAGTTGACTAGTACTAAAGATGTCGATAACAAGCAAACTCTTATGCATTACTTGGTGGATACGATAGAAAGAAAGTTCCCAGAATGTCTCAGCTTTATTGAGGAAATAGCACATGTAGATCGTGCCAGTAGAGTGTCTTTAGAAAATGTTCAGAGAACATTATGTCAAATGGAGACCAATATTCGTAATCTCGAACAGGATCTTACGAATGCCAAAGTTCCACAGTGCGATGAGGACTTATTTATAGATGTTATGAAAGTATCCTTCACTAATTTTTTGTTAATAATCATTAATATTCAACGGATAAAATAGCTTAGAGAACGCTGAATTATTTCTTATTAGAATTAGTTTCTACACTTCACTAAAGAATTAACAGCAAAAACCAATCATATTAAACAATCACTGAGCGTGCATTGAGCAATGGAGGGTACAAAATTTCAAGGATTTTGTGACCACTCGAGGATTATTTTATTTCTTATGTTTTCTTATGTATTTTCATAACTGATGATAAATTGATGAATTTATATTATATAACACATTTGTACAGTATTGTACAAATGAACCCAAAATAATCATTATAATAACGCCAAACTTAAGAAAAAATTGGTACATTGAAATATAGCGAATGAAATCTTTATTTGCATCGTTATAAAATCACTGCCAATTATATTTCAATAATTTATTTATGAAGTTAATTCCAAATTGAATCAAATGCGAATGATATTGCATCACAAAACGCTAATTAGATTATATTTTTTATTATAACATTTTTCATCTCGGTACTGTTTTCCTCATTGCAAGCATTGCGCAAAGCACCGCGATTACAAATATTATATTAAAATATATTATTATACTAAAGATATAATCTAATTAACGTTTTGTGCAATATTATTCACATTTGATTCAATTTGGAATTAATTTTATAAATAAATTATTGACATATAATTGATAGTGATTTTATAACGAGTAAATAAGAATTTTATTCACTATATTTAAATGTATCAATTTTTCCTTAAAACTGGCGTTATTATAATGATTATTTTCGATTTCTAGAAAAAAAATAGAAGAAAAATACATAAGAAAACATAGAAATAAAATATCTCCGAGTGGTCACAAAACTCTTGAAAATATATACTTTTCTTTACCTACTGAACATAGTCATTGATAATATCATTTATTGATCTTGTGTTGATCAAACAAAAGTATTTCCTTAACGGAGTTACTTTATAGCCATTCGCTAAGAAAGCTAGAGAATCTTACGAGGTTCTGCAAAATATGTTTAAAAATATGGACACTCTGTACACGGACATTTCAGAATTCTTCTCTTTCGATAAGCAGAAGTACACTATAGAGGAATTCTTTGGCGATATCAAGACGTTCAAAGATGATTTCTTGGTAAATACGCGCTAATACGTCACGTCGCAGTCTATTCAATCGCTATCTAATGCGATTCTATATTCTCACCGTAGCAATCGCAGAAGGAGATAATAAAGCTGAAGGAGGGCGAGGAGAAACAGAGACGAACGAGAGAAGCGCGCGAAAAAGCAGAAGCAGAAAAGGCGGCACGAGCTGCGCGTAAACGCGCATTAGTCGATATGAACGCACATGAGACTCAGGAAGGTGTTATGGATAGTTTGATGGAAGCGTTGCAGACTGGATCGGCTTTCAGTAGGCCAGACCAACGACGCAAGCGACAAACCCGCGTAGCTGGTGGTAAGTTGTATAGGACATACATCAGGAGACAAATGGTGAAGAAGGAACAAGCAGCTCAAGCATATTTATTTAGTAATATTTTAGACAAATCTACTAGAAATAAGTTAATGCACAAATGTAAAAATCTAACTTCAACTGAAATCATGCGATGCCATATGCTCCCGAACAGGATTATGGCTGAAGAAATATGCACGGCGGGCAATTCAATAAATTTCTTTACGCCGGAAGAAAATCAAGAAATCTACAAACAAATGCTAGACGAGGCGAAAAAAACGCCTAGGCAGACGAAGCATTCATCCAAAGTTACGTTCTTTAAAAAAAAGAAACTGTGCAATTGTTGTAATCGCGCATATTACGCGACGATGCCGGTATTCGATGAAACGCCCAAAAGAGACGTTTTGCTAAAAACATTTAGAAACTTTGAGTCCAGATGCATTAAGATTGACTGGGACTCAAGCCCATTAATCGGTGGAGACGTCTCTGTTAATCGAGCGTTAATTCTTAGCCCGATTAAGCAAAAACGCGTCATAGTCAATAAAATACGCAAAAGAAACAGCATTGTGCGCCGCACTATATTGAATCGCAAACGTATACGTGCGAGTAATACAATTGCAAAACGCAGTAAGCTTCATGCTTATTTGCAAAATCTACCCAGTATGAGTACCACTATGCCATCGATTATCAATACGTCAGATATAGACATGAATTCTGTAAATCAAAAGATGTCAAAATCGATCGATGATTTTCATACTAAAATACTCAAACCGGCCTTCACTCCGATGAGACTTTTGAGATCGAGAAATTTCGAAAACTTGACACGCTATGACGAAAGTCAAAACATACAAGATTTGAAAAACTCAGGCTTTTTAAATTCGAGCATGTCTACTCAGTTTCCAAGTAGTGAGCAGATAACTAAAACACAATCACCACTAGTGACAGAAATAAGTAGAATTATGTTATTGTCGGAAAATAGCCCATTGCATTTTATAAAATCAAACTCTATTCATATTGCTACAAAAAGTTTAAATTTGTCCGAAAACTCTGGACAACTCGCAAATACATACAAGCAATTCACTCCGGAAACAAGTAATTTAACTGCAAGAAATCGTAATAAATTGAAAAAACTAAAAGATAGTTCATGGAAAAATAAGTGGAAGTTTTGGCAAATGCCGATAAATATTGTTTAATAGAATTATTTGCTGCTGTAGTATTTATAGAAGACTAAAATGGAACTGACGCGAGAGAAAAAAATATTTTGTAACTATTGTTGCGAAGAAACTTGTTCGAAAAAGCGTTACGATGCATACTTTCATTTAAAAATCATTTGATTTTTCTATTAAAATGTGCGACTTTCTCCTGTTCTACATATTGCAATAATATTTTTATAATCTAATATTGTGTCATTATATTTTTAAAATACAGTGTAGGAATCATTACTTTGCATTAGTCATGTTAATGTCAATAATCTTTTTTTTATTTATTTGAAAATAGCGAGACTCAATATATAGTTTTGATACAATGTACAATACATAAATAAAACTTTCGTTTACCTATGGATTTGTAAATATATTTACGTATCGTGCGAACTATTCAAAACTGATAATTGTATTATAATATTTGTGATTTATGAAGAATTTAAAAATTTGAAATATATTATTTTCATATAGCGTATAAATTTTATATAACATTTTATTTAATTAATATATGTCAAACTTTTTAAGTAAATGAAAATGGGTATTTGTAATAAAAAGTCTTGAGTTTTATGTACGTATTTGATGCACAAAAATATATTCTATTGATCTTGTAATCATACTGCAGAAATTATGAGAACACAATAGTAAGATAAAAATAATAAAGTCAAGGTGCTTTTGTAATATCATTCCGATCATTTATATTCAAATTACAAAATTCAATGAGATATGAGATGAATGTGTAATTTTACAATTTTTTCTGTTATTGGTGTGATTATAATGTAATATTAAAATAAATTTTTTTCTTCGATATTTTATAAAAATTTAAATGATTTTTATGATTATTTATGTATTTTTTGATTATAATTTTGTTACAAATTTTAAGTATGACACAAGTACTTGAGTTTTTGATGAAACATGTACCGAAGACTGTTTTGTATAAAAACATATATATATATATTTGTAATTAAATGCAGTAACTAATTACTTAATTGTCTTAATCTTGTTCTCCTTGATATGTTAAATGTTGTAAAGTAAATTGTATTATTTAATGCAAAAATGTATTACTGGAATGTCGATATATGATTAATGTATATAAAATATAAAAGTTCCATTCCTCTTTCGCGTAGTAACTATAAAGAAAAAGGTTTCATTTATAAAGTGCATAAGTTCTTTCAAAATACATTCTAATGGTACAAATATTATTCCTATTATTCTCGAATAATATCAAGCCTATTCTAATGAGTTTAATTCTATTTTAATTTTACAGCGGAAAGGAGAGCGCAACTAAATAGGAGTCGATCGCGTACTGGATTAGTCGGAACTGGCTTGCTAGGGAGAGAACTTTCGACGTAAGTATTATCGTATTAATTGCAAAATGAATGCGTGAACGAGACACGCTCGAATAGAATGGTAAGTTTCTTTCTACATATTACACGCACGTTATGAATATGTATACAATATTGTACAAGTATGTTATATATTCATTAATTTATGAAAAATTAATAACGATTGCTATCAATTTATTAATTTAAAGTTCTTACTTGTTTTACGAATAATTTACTCGCTTACTGGAAAACAATATAACGACTATATAGGAATATCTAATTTAAATTTTGTTAGTTATATTTAAAGATATAGAGAATGGACCATGGTGTAAGAATAATAGATGATTCCATTCGCCCATTTTTGTCCAGAAAAACTGTGACGAAATTGAGGCAGTTATGGCACGTAACACTAGAGGGCATGATGATCTGACACCTAATGGCCTTTGCAATCTTTCCAATTCACAGCCGTTCAAGTGGCATTTCTTTTATGATTAACTCTACAGCATATATCCTCTTCCATAACTTTCACGATCTTCCTAATTGTCCCACTAATCATGTGTATAAATAAATGTACTATTATAATAAAATTATTTACTATGTTGTTACTTACCTTAATCTTACTGCTATCTCTTGAAACGCTCCAGGAAAAAATGTTTTACATATATTTATATATAATTTTTTTAATATATATATATTTAATCCCGGGATTTATGAGGTTAGATGTTATACATATATGCCATCTGCTGTTCAACGGAGTTTCCTTAGGAAAATCACAGTAATTTTACATGAGTAGAGAATCACCTATTATTATTCTTACACCGTGGGATGGACTGTGCGATCCAAAATGGTCTACAAAAATAAAAGGAATCGTGGAAGATGGCTAATCTCTATCTTTTTCTATTCAACGATGAAGTTGTGATTAGAAAGAGAGGAAGATTGGTCGTCTTCTACAGTCCCTCTCTCTCATTATTGTCGACAATATTGAATACTATTTAGATACAGATCGCGCAATCCATTCTTTATGCCTCTTTAGTTATATACATATACCTTATATGTATGTACGAATAATAATTCTTCGCATTTTTACGAAAAATACACAACGATTTGTAGTAATCTTTAATGATAAAATTAAACAATTTTTTCTGGAAGTATTAACTATAATTGACTTTGCGTACTTCCTGTTTATTTGCTTGTCTTTATTGACATTAGGCTTCTTAAGTCGGGATCTACAATAGGTTTTTTAAGTCTTAAGTAAGAAATTGACCAATTACAATTGAAGAAGAGAAGAATAATTGACTATGATTCGTCCATTTCTTAAGGCTTAAAAAACCTATTGTAGATCCGGATTAATACATACATTTATCTCCCTGCCTATTTCACCTCAATCTATTACTGTTGCAGAGAGCTTTTAAGTTCGGCTTAATCTATTGGAATACATCCTATTTCCGTCCTAAACTCATTGCTGTGATGATTTTACACGCATTGGAACATTAATGAGCAGGAGAACGTACGGTATGGTAAATCAATATCCAAGAGAGAGGAAGAAAAAGAAGAGCGACATTCCACATCAATGATCTTCCGATGTAGATCGAATTTTTACTATTTCGAATTGAATAACAGTCTTCCTTACATAAGGTATGGTCAATATGGTGCTACAAATGCTTTAAAGTGTTTTTTAATTAGTCAAATTGTAAAATTCTTTCTTCTGATTGGTCCATCAAATGCTTCAAAGCATTTGTAGCGGAACTTTGACTACAACCATAGTTAAGATATTCGGTTTATAGGTGTTTTTTACTTGTATAAATACATATGTGTGTATACAGATTTGTATAACGATAGTTGCATTAATGCTCGCTAGAGTAAGTGCGAGAATTTGTTCCATAGACGATTACTTCGAGATACTTCGAGACGACGCAAGAAGAAATTCGTCACTAGCAAACACATTTGTAAATACGCATAAGATAAGTACTAGTGACGAATTGACGATTCGTAGAAGCTGCTCGTCAATATAGTTCGGCGCACACTCTTATCACGCTCCAAGCATGTTTACCATCATTTCTGTGAATCAGGCGGCGGATTTCGCATTTATTTATGTACGTGGTTGTAAATATATTTCATCTCGAGAATCATAGATACATACGTATATGCTCGAAATTATTTCGATTACAAGATATATTTGTAAAAATTACATTTTGTGAACAAGTAATTTTTTCGTTAAAAATCGATAATGCATTCCTTCGATATTCTTAACGAAGGAAAATACCTCATATACTGTATGGACATTTTTATACGACAATATTTTTATGCGACGAGGAGATTCGTAAATATCGCTTATTTCTACGTTATGTTAATGTTAAGATGATACTAGTAATCGTAATGACTCTGTTGCCAGCTCGATAAAACGACCGCAAAGCCTGCATAACTTAACGTTTACATCCGTTGCTCATTTAAATTTCAATAAGAATATTTACAATGTAATCTGAAATTCTATTGTAGTATAAAGAAAGATTTGTATAAAATTGGCGCACAATTTTTCGATATATTTTTTATAATTATGGTTTTACTTTGTCTATCTTTTTAGAAAAAAGCACCTGTATTCGCATTTTTTTGTAACGGAAACATTTTACTATGTAACAGTATTAATCTAGGAAAAATAACTGAATTACTCTTAAGAGAAGTAACTTATTCAACGCAATGTTCGCGTTTTGTGATATACTTAACGAACCCGAAAACAAGCTCATGACAGTCGAACAGTACTTTTAACGGTGGCTTGATCGAATGCCCGTAAAAGAAACTCAGAGTAAAAGAGATATATGTAGAGAGAAGATCTTAGAAAACGGATACGTGGCGATGTAAACACTGAATGTAATTTAACTTTTTCCAACGCTTGATAAATTAGCAGTAGATAACACGCGATGTCTATATATTGGATTGAGTAAAAAATAACTTCGTATTTTTAGAATTGAATGTCATCTATAAATGCGAAGTTATTTTTTAATCCACCGAATATATGATAATATTTTCTCATCGTTTTTACAAATGAAAATACCATTGTCGATAGATTGAAATTGTGCAAATGCAAGTACTGAATGTAAATCGTGAGAATCCCAACTGAGATTCACCACGTGGATTCGCGGTTGATGGAAGACCGTTTTCGTTGACAGGCGATTCGGGCATTTCATCAAGCCAATCCAAGTATTCTAATGTGCGTGTAATTTGTATAAATTTTCTTGGCCTCAAGGAAAAAGCTCATAACTCAATTTATTAAAGCGATATTGTGACTTTTTTAAATTTTTATAAGATTGGAAATTTATTATTATTGTATAAAAAGATCCGGGACACGAAGGAAGTCTCGCCGTTGTGGGATAGATGTGACATGCCATGTCATTTAATTAGCCAACAGTTAGTAGTGTGCCGCATAGTAAGGGCGGCTATGTCAGGCACGCTTGAAATATCTAGTGAAAGGCAATGTAACGAGCCGGTTCTCGGAGTTGTAAAAATTATGGAAGTATCTCTACGAGAGAATACTGCTGCAAGTTCTCTGCGCAGTTGATTTTCTGATGATTCATTTCGGATATGTCGATTTTTCGCGCGAAGTCAATCGAAACGTCTTCTGTACCATATCAGCGATGAAACACGGACTATTACGTAACTATTTTAGACATTTTATGCATATTTTAACATGCTTCTATAATGATTTCCTACAGAATAAAATAGAAATAAAAAAAAACTCCAACCGTAATATTACCCCGACATGATTGTACGTGTCTGTACAAAAATAAATTATGGAAATATAATTTGTCTATCGATTGGATATCGTAACGAATGAATGATTTGTTAATATTCTAGAATTAGGTACATAAATGTTAAGAACCTAAATTAAGGTCTAATTGTATCTGTACTGTGAATATACGCGAATTTAAATAATATCAGTATATTCATTACTATTTTGTGTCTTATTTCTCAATACTTATGGAATATTTAGGGATGTGACGCACATATTCTATGAGAACATAAAATCATAATCACCAGAAGTGAACAGTATATTTGAAATACATATATTTAAAATACGTATTTAAATATATTTTTGTATTTTGTATTTGTTGAAATGGTAAATATAGGATTTTAAGTCACATCTCACCGATTTCTCTAACTTTTAGGCTGTATCGTTTCATGCTGCATTATTTATCCTTGTTATTCATCGAATGTTAAACAAAAATAAATGAAGCATCATGCATAAAATGGAACGCAGTCTTAGATATGTTATAAGGGAAAGTGTCCTGAGTAATTCCCCCCCCCCCCCCCCCCCCCCCACAATAAAAAGCCACCACGTCTTTTACATGATTTTTATTTTAATATTTAAATTTTTTATTAACATATTATGTGTATATTCTACAATAATATAATAAGCAATAGTATAGTAAGCAATTATTATAATACTGTAATTATGAACAATAGCTTTCCACATCACCTCAGAGGTACTATCGTTGATGTGTTTTTTTTTAAGTATTAGGGGTACAAATAAGTTCGTGCGGTTTTGAAAGAGATGGCGTAACTACTGTTTCATTCCACCGTTCCGTATTTCTAAGTATGCGTTGGATAGCTGTCATTAGTAGGTATTAAGTTCAGTATGTGTCATTTGTTCGAATTGTAAACAACAATATTTTTACTTCGTCAAATATGTCGAACTTTGTACCAAATAAAGTGTTTTTGCGGCAGTAGGAAGTTTTACTGCATTACTTCAATATGAAGAAAAGTGCTGCCGAAAGTCATCGTATTTTAGTGGAAGTTTATGGTGACCATGCTCTATCTGAGCGAACGTGTCAGAAGTGGTTTGCACGGTTAAGAGTGGTGACTTTGACTTGGAAGACCAAGAGCGTGCCGGATGTCCAAGAAAGTTTGAAGACGCAGAATTAGAGGCATTACTCGATGAAGATCCATGTCAAACGCAAGAAGAGCTTGCATTATCATTGGAAGTGACTCTGATTACATTGTAACCGGTTTTTCACAATAAAGCCCCAAATTTCGAGAAAAAACCGCACGAACTTATTTGTACCCCTAATAGTTTCCCCAGTAGGCCTATTCCACTAAAAAATAATGAAGAAGCTGATCAAATGTAGCTCGATAGGAAAACAACATTCTCTAATATAAAATATTTATAGAAATGTATGAGGATGAAACAGAAGCAACTAATTTTCTTGAAAATGTAAATTTGATCTTCTGGATCGTTTGCACGATTCTACTAGGGATATTCACAGAGATTTTAGAAGTAGTTTGCATTATCGAGGATAACGATGCTTCGTTTAAAGAAGAACGTTTTTCTGTTTTCATAAATTTCATTTTAGAGAAAGAGCATTCACACAAATATGTGGACCCGAATATCGAGAAAATTCGAAGACCAAACTTTCTGAGACGTGGATAACATGATGCAAAAATTTTGAAGAATTCAATCCCCTTTTCTCGTGTTTTCAAAGAAAAATCACATAGATCGCAAAGTTCTGCCTGAAATTCTGCTTTGTTCCTTGATTTGTACAGTGAGAGGATTCTTATTAACCATTTTTCGAACTTGTTATTGCCTTTGCGCTGTCAGTTACAATAGCCGAACATTTCGAAAAATCTATACCAAATTCTGAGGAGTTTGGTTAACAGCTTCAAAAATATCAATTCCCGTTATCGTACCATGTGAGACAAAATCTAAGAACTCCTCGATATGTGAGAAATCGTTTTGATTCAAGTAAAAATACTCAATTAACTCACATGTCGATTATCGATGCTTTTATTGAGACGATAAAGATTTTAATTTATTTTTTAAAGAGGAAGCAATGTCATCGATTTTTGACTTTACAGTTTTGTCACTTAATGGAATGCAAGCTTCTTCAAGAGTTAATGAATTTCCAAACGACTCTACTGCTGCAATGATCCTTTACAAATTCTCCTTCACAAAACGACTTAGAATTTTTCGCAATTAAATTTAAAATTGCATACGACGCTGTAAGAGCTTTTACTGAAGGTGCATTATCAACATGAGAACTTGAATTACAACCTTCTTTATAAATTAGTTTTAATCCTTCAATTATATCGAATTTTTTTTTGTCCACATATTTTGAATATTCTTTTGAATGTTTAATATTATAATGCCTATGAAGAACATATTTTTTAACAGTAGAGGGTTGATAATCACACAGAAGACAGGTGGTTTTATTATTAATGGAAGCAAAAAAAATTTCTTTCCATACCTTGTCAAAAAGTTGGATATATTTATCCATTTTTTTAAGTGAAATCGATGACAGGATTATACTAAAATAAATAAATAATATATACAAGCACTACACTATTACACTTTGCTCTATTAATAAACACTAATATATCTTTTTTCTTAGCAATATCACATATTTTTACACGTAATATTATCAAATGTAGTACTATCACACGTATCACTATACTATTACGCAATATTATTCTGTTTGTAAAAAATCTCCAAAACTTTATAATCCCGCACGAAACCTTTAACGTACACTGTCGTACATGCTTTGCTATTAAACTAAAAAACCGTTGAGAAACAACGGAAGAGATAAACAACTGCACATCAACGCACGGCAGAAGTAGGCGCGCCTACACCCACACAGCACTGATTGCTGCGGAAAATTTTCAAAAATGTTTCAACTTTTTATCATATGCAACATTTTCTCATATGCAACAGTTCTAAAAAGATTCTGCAATATATTATATAAAATATTGCAACATAAAGGATTCTATCATATGAAATTTTAACAGAAATGTCTGTCTAAAATGTATCACATGCAACAAATTGAAAAACATATCCAAACAGAATAAAAAGTCATCATGACGTCAAAATAGCTCCAAAAGTCTATCAAAAGTCATTTTTTTTATCAATCATGATTTAATCTAACATAATTTTGATATTATCCTGACTTGTTCAATTTAAATTGTGAATAACTTATGTATATGAATGACTTTGCTATTCCAGAGCTATCTTAGAAACTGTTGGAAGCGCGCTCTCAATACCATTGACATAGAGGGTGAGACGCGTGTTACCGGCCGAGCAGTGAGTTAAAGAAAGGTGCTGGAATGGCCACGTGTGATCGAAGAAGAAAATGAGATCGGATCGCAAGCTGAGCGAGTGCTGTCCGTTCCCGCCAATAGAACTTTTTACTTTTGCCTTTTTTACTGCTATTGTTATTAGATGATCCGAGCCATATGCTCTTATATTTTTGTAATAAAGTAGCATGTAAAATATGAAGAAGTGTCTAATATTATTGAGAACCTTACGATCTTGAAACCGCGGCTGCAACATTCTGGTGACCGTGACAGGACTGAGTAATTTCGTTGTAACCGTTTTATAGCAAGCAGAAATCGTAAGAAAGTAATCCGTAGATATGGAACAAGTAAAGTTAAAACTAAGAATAACACGATCCTTTACGAAAGTGTACACCCTTCCGGATTACTTCCTTCCGGATTAAGCAGTCGAAGGAATCGCCAGACATAACCTCGTTGCAAGTCAGCTTCACGTTGCTACGAGACAAACCAGCTTAATGAGCTAAATCAGAAGCTGCAGACCTTAATGATCGAAGCTGGAGAAGCCATTGGAAGAGAGGCACAGCATGCAGATGAGTATGCCACGAAATACCATCAAGCAAAGGTCGGGCTAACTTGTTAGAGCGGAAGAATGAACTCGAAACGCCGACACCGGTTCCGCTGTAATGGACTACCACGACAATACAGGAAAGTATACGCGCATTAAATTTGCCGAAAATTGAATTAAGAAAGTTTAGCAGTGATATCAAAGATTGGCTTCCGTTTTGGAGTACTTTTAAGAAAATTCATGAAGACGCGACGTTGTTGAGGGAAGATAAATTCCAATATTTAGTACCGTCTATAGTAAAAGACTCGCGGGCGTTTGAAGTAGTGAATAGTTTTTCACTAACAGCCGGTAATTATGAGAAAGCCACAGCCTCGACTCTCGATTCGGCAAAAAA